TCCCCTTAAATGAAAATGTACAAGAAAAAAAATAAATAAAAAGCTTCCGACGCACAGCAATACACCCAGGTGTCGGCAGTATTTAAATTTGATCGCCTTATTTCTTCTCACAATTTGTGATATCCGTTTTAATTTATATAAACGATCTCTATGTATAGTTATGGCTCACCATGCAAGCATAAATAACACTCTACTTCTAAATGTCTTTGAGTTTGATCGATGATCAAATTTTGATCTAACATGAAATTGAATGTCTGAGAGGAACCATTATTCAGTGAGTGCATGAGTTCCTCAACCTTTAGGAAAAAATCTTTTTGGTTTCAGGACAACTCCAAAGGATCCCGTTAGCCTCTCTAGTGGTGTCTGCAGAGAAAGAGATTATCAACAGGGGAGAGGAAGTGACACAATAATCCCATTAGGAAGGCCAGCTCTGTCCTATAAACCCCTTAACTGACAGCAGGTGGTGAGGATAGGGCTCCAGCAGAAATGGCATCATTCTTTGACTAAATCTTCAACTTCTATAAAGCATAGAGCTTTTCTGGTTACAGTACTCTACACCTTAAAGGCTCAAAGAAGCGTTGTTTGAGGTTGGTGGAAAATTCCCTCACAACAAAAATGATATTTCTAATGTTTTTCACAAGTGGGCTGTTTAACACTGTGGTATTTAAAAAAGATTCTCTGTTGCTATGAGGTGGTTTGACCTAAAGTTGGACGATACGGCCTGAAGTTATATCATGAAATAAAGTCTTAATACCAAAATAAACAAAATGGTAGCCTGCTAACAATCCCTTCAACAGAATACAAACAAATGACAATTATTTCATTTTATAAAACACCTCAAACATATCATTAAAGAATTATATGCTTTAAAAAATGATTCCACTCGGTTTACTGTGATATTTACATATTGGAGATGTGATTTCACCATCATTAAATGAAGTTGGTTAAAACTCTCAGTCATCCAGGCCATAGTCATTCCAAAAAAGGGTTAGAAAAAAACAATCTACTGGACTTTGTTTCCAAGCTTGAAGACGTTTCTCATGTACATCCAGGAAACTTTTTCAATTCAAAATGTGTGAAATAGCGTAGAGTTCCAGGCTTTATACAGTAGCCCAACAAAGCTGTTTTTTGGCTTTGAAAACATTAAAATTGAAACGGACGAACAGGCCCGCCCCTTAGGAATGGGGGTCGTTTAAATCTTTATTAACCTTCAATACCTGATACTGATCTATGCCTCTGAAAGGGGAGTCGTTGAGGGCATTTTTGGCCTGGCTGACCAGGCAAGATGTTGTGGTCCCCTGCATGGCGATGGGGGTTGAGATGATGGAGGGAAGGGATCGACTCTATCACTGTTTTTTAGGTTTTTGAGAGCTGAAGTCCACCCCCTCTGTTCGAGGTTGGCTTTTCTTTCTTAACATAAATGTAATCCTTCAATTCCCTTTTAAACCGCCTGTCTTCTTTGTCCAAAATGTGCACATTCTGGTCCTCAATAGAATGTCCTTCGTCCATACATGTCCATGTACCACAGAGTCTTGTCCGGAGGAGGTCGCTGTCCCATGTTGGGCTATGCATCTGTGAAGAGGTTGTTTGGTTGTTTTTCAGAGATTATATGTCGCTGGAGTCTTTAAAAACTAAAGAGGACATTCTCCAAAGACAAAGTCCCAGTACATTTCAAACCAAACAAGACCCTTAAACAGACTAGTGCTGCCTAAAGATAAAACCTCAAGACCTAATGAATGGAGGAGTGTGTGCAGTTCAATACAGAGAGAAATGCTCTGATGTTTATATTGGTGAAACCAAACAACCTCTCCACAGACGCATGGCCCAACACATTTTGGACAAAGAAGACGGGTGGTTTGAAAGGAGTCTAAAGGAAGCTATTTATGTTAAGAAAGAAAAACCAACCTTAAACAGAGGGGGGGGGGACTCTCAAAAACCTACAATGCTGCGATGGAGTTAATTCCGTCCCGCTATCATCTCAACCCCCCTCCCCATGCAAGGGACCAAAACATCTCCCCAGGTCAGCCAGGCCAACAATTCCCCTAACGACTCCCCCCACAAACAGGGCTTTGTTGGGCTACTAAAGCTTGGAACTCAAGGCTAATTCTAACATTTTTAATTGAAAAAGCTTCCTAGATGGGAAGAGAAACGTTTTCAAGCTTGGAAACAAAGTAAAGAGGATTGTCTTGTTTTGTTTTTTTACCTTTTTGGAATTAAATGAAGTTGTATTACAATATTTGTTGATAATTAACTAATTTGACCTCTCTGTTCTCTAACCTTTTCATTGTGGACTTTTGGCCTTTAGGACATCTTTAATGCGGTGATCAAGCAGAACCCATTCCTTGTTTACCAACTTCCCTGCTTTTGGAACGTCCAGCTTTCAGACCACACTCGCTCAGAAAAATGCTACAAGGATGTTTCAGACCTGAAGGTGAGTTCCAGTTTTTAGGTTCACCAATCAGCCTTTGCAATGATTAACAACAAGTGTTAGACGTACAGTGAGGATAATAAGTATTAGAACACCCTGCTATTTTGCAAGTTCTTTCACTTAGAAACCATGGAGGAGCCTAAAATTGTTATTGTAGGTTTATAAATCACAATGTGTTGCTTTTTAACTATTAATTTGTATGATACAGCTGCAAATAAGTATTTGAACACCTGAGAAAATCAAGGTTA